GATGTCTGGCTTGTCTTGGTGCCCTTATAAACGAAACACACCGTTTTGTGATTAGCCTCCTTTAGTGAAATTGTGGGTTTAATGTTCAACACTGGGCTGCCTCTTGTCATTGTCGATGGGTTTAATGGGCTAGTTTTGGTTTTATCAGTTTCATGAGGTTTGGCTTCATGGTAATGTGTGAATTATTTAAAAACTTTATCCTATGGGCCAATATAAAATAGAAGATTATCTAACAAACAAAAAAAGTATTTTAACAGTCAATATAAATATATAGAAATGCTGCATGCTTTAGAAAAACAAAGCAGCAGCAGCTCTTGAAAAAATAGATTAAAAAAAAGGAAAAACTCTCTAAAATTTTCTTTTGGAACATTTACACTATGACCCCTTGGGTTATGGATTCTGGATCCGCCACTGTCTGGTAATTTACATGTTTCTTAGCAATTAGAACAAATGTGTGCTCGACCAACAAAATAAGAAGAAGAAGAATATATGTGTAAAACAAAGATGTTTATCAATAAACCTAACAAAAACCTTTAATTAATTTTCTAGATGCAAATGATTTAACAAACCTTTTATTCTGAGGGTTTGAGGTTGCCCCCTTGTACTGTAGAAATTAGAAATTAGGGAGTTGGGCTATAAGTCAAAGTCAAATAGAACCGAACCGATCATACCAAATCAAAATCGAACCAAACCTCCCCTCCTAGTTATTCTATTCGGTTAGTTTTAGTTTTATTGGTAAAGCAGATGGGTACGCTGTATCGGGTCGTGGGTGTTTCAACTTTCGACACTGCCTAAATCTAAATGGGTTAACGATCAAATCAAGCGGCTCAAAGATTTGTCCCGCAAGAGAGAAATACTGAAATAAATAAAACAGAGAGGAGGAAAAATTACGTTATTAAGGAAAGAAAATAAAGAAAAGAAGAGAGAAAAGTCCCTTTTTTTTTTTTGGGTCGAAGAGAGAGAAGTCTTTGGCTTTGTGGGTTTGGTTGGATCTAAAGAAGACGGAGACCGGTCCACAGAGAAACGAGAGAGGCGAGAAGAAGATCAACATCTCCTTTGCTGTTGCTTAACAAACGTTTAAGCATTTGATTATAAAAATGACGTATTTTCGTTGTTCTGGTCGTCGTCCTCCTCCTCTCGATCCTTCTCTTTGGATTCCCTTAAGTTCCCCGTCTAGGTAATTACCCACGGCCTGCTCTTGGTTTTTTCTGGGCGTTTGGCTTATGTGCTCTTAGTACCCAACTATAGTGTCACTCGGGATCTAGACTCGGATGTCAACTTCACTCCAACTGGTACATTATATTTGCATTTGCTATTTGTTATGCATATTTGCTTTCGTAAATTTCTCAACTGTGTCATATTATGTGATTGATTGATGTTGTTGGGTATGTTGAGATTTCATCCCTTTCTTTGCAACTCTTCGAATTAGCCCTAATAAAAAGGCCACCAACAGCATAAGAAAATGGTGTTTAGTCGAATTGCCAATATAATTTCTTCTGCATCAAGTCGTTGGTCTAATCCTCAGGGTTCCACTGTATCTTCTCCTCCCAAAACGTGTGCCCATGCTTTTGCCTTTGCCAATCCTGCACGCAATAAGAACCATCTTCGACTCTCATCATCTCTCCAGGATTTCTCCTCTTATCATCATCAGCTCGATCCTGAAGATCCCCATCCCAGCATTGTTGCCCATTCCGAAAACCCTCATTCCTTAGAGAGAGAAACTGCTGCCTCCAGCTTCTCAAAGGAGAAAGGACTGCCAGGAGGAGGAATCCTACCTGCCTGCAACAAGTTGGTTCGAGCCCTCATGCTTCTGTGTTGTATCTTGTTGTTCGGTTTTCTAATTTATTTGGTTTCCATCTTCATTTATTCTTATTGGTCTAAAGGAACTCCCAAATTTTATATTGTGCTTGATTGTGGAAGTACTGGAACTCGAGTTTATGTATATCAAGCATCCTTTGATAATGCGAAAGATGGCACTTTTCCTATTGCCATGAAGTCATTAACTGAAGGTCTTGAAAGAAAACCTAATTCACACACTGGTCGAGCTTATGATCGAATGGAATCTGAGCCTGGGCTTGACAAGTTGGTTCATAACATTTCGGGCTTGAAGGCTGCAATAAAACCACTTATTCGATGGGCAGAGAAGCAAATCCCAGAGAAGGCACATAAAACAACCTCGCTTTTCCTTTATGCTACTGCAGGGGTGCGCAGACTGCCGAGTGTCGATTCAAAGTGGCTTCTAGACAATGCATGGTCTATACTCAAGAATTCACCTTTCTTGTGCCAAAGAGACTGGGTTAAGATTATCAGTGGCCTAGAAGAAGCTTACTTTGGTTGGATAGCCCTCAACCATCATACGGGCATGCTGGGGGCCAAACCAAGAAAGCCAACATTTGGTGCACTTGACTTGGGTGGTTCATCGCTGCAGGTTACCTTTGAGAGTAATGAACATGTGCATAACGAGACCAGTTTAAACCTTAGAATTGGGGCTGTGAACCATCATCTCACTGCATATTCTCTCCCGAGCTACGGTTTAAATGATGCATTCGACAAGTCTGTGGTTCATCTTTTGGAGAAGCTTCCAGAAATCACCAAGGCAGAACTAGTAAACGGGAAGGGAAAACTTAGGCACCCCTGCTTGCAGTCCGGATACAAGGAGAAATATGTTTGTTCTGAATGTGTTTCTAAATTCCAAGAAGGTGGAAGCCCTGTGATTGCAAAAAAGAGTTTGGGCAAAGGGGGAAGATCAGGGATTTCTGTGATGCTTAGTGGTGCTCCAAATTGGGATGAATGCAGTAAACTTGCAAGAATTGCTGTCAATTGGTCGGAATGGTCCAATATAAACCCAGGAATTGATTGCGACTTGCAACCTTGTGCTCTTCCCGATGGTCTACCCCGTCCTTATGGGAAATTCTTTGCGATTTCTGGATTTTTTGTGGTTTATCGGTTTTTCAATTTGACTTCAGAGGCATCGCTTGATGATGTATTGGAAAAGGGTCGGGAATTTTGCGAAAGAACTTGGGAAGTTGCAAAGAACAGTGTTGCTCCTCAGCCCTTCATTGAACAGTACTGCTTTAGAGCACCATATATTGTATTCTTGTTGAGAGAGGGCTTGCACATTACAGATAATAAAGTTATAATTGGGTCTGGAAGAATTACATGGACACTTGGGGTTGCTCTGTTGGAAGCTGGGAAGGCACTTTCAACCAGATTGGGCCTTCGCAGTTATGAAATATTCCAGATCAAGATCAACCCAATATTTTTTATTGCAGTTCTGTTTATTTCGTTGCTTTTCCTCCTTTGTGCGTTATCATGTGTTGGAAATTGGATGCCAAAATTTTTCTGGAGGTCATATCTCCCACTGTTTAGGACTAATGGTGCATCTTCTGCATCCGTTCTGAGTATTCCATCGCCTTTTCGATTCCAGCGCTGGAGTCCTATTAGCCCTGGTAAACACTTTCCCAAGACTTCTAATGTGTGTGTAGTTTTGAAATAGTTCCCAAATGATACCGTTATATTTATGACAATTTTTAACTTTATTTGTTCCAACTGTCTGTCTACGATTATTCCTCTTGAGTGGTTTCCTTGTACAAGACCATCATATTCACTTTCCGTAGATGTGAAGTCACCCTGAGAATGTGATTTTAGGGTACACTGTTAGCATAACAACTAGATAAAAAGGAGTAGATTGAAGTGTTTAATAATCTTGTGCATGTCTGTAGGTTTTTCCTTTTTTTTTCTTTTGTTTTTTTGATAGGTGGGGAAGGGGGGATTCAAACTGGGGATCTCTTCCAATGTTGGAAG